CACCAAAATGTCTTTTGAGAATTATTTCCTTGGATTCAGAAGAAAATAGGAATTTCCAGAGGGGTAGCTGTGTTAGTCTGCACTCTGTTTTAGCAAAACCAACAAAGAGTTCTTTAAGGATTAACATTTTTTTATCTGGCATAAACTTTTGTCGAGGGGGGGGATACATTTGAGGAGGTCATCGGCTGCGATCCACATAAGCTTATGCAAAAGAACATGTGCTAGTCTTTAAGGCACCACAAGGCTCCTGTTTTGTTTTACTGCATCACAAAGCAGACTACTTAAAGGGTTAATCCAAAGGCAGGAAAAATGAGGAGGTGTAACACAATTTCCAAATCTTAATAAAATACAGGTGTTTTTACTGTAGGGCTAAAAAAAAGCAGTACTTTAGTAAGCATGTATAAACAAGAGCAAGGCGCTGTGGAAAAATGTGCTATTGAATAACGAGAAGGCAGTTTGGAATAGCAGAAGTGGGTTGTGCTAGGGGTTTATGAGGAATGCAAGAGTCCCTGGCTGAGGTTTACCTTAAAGTTCAGAAGTGGGGAAGCACATAAATCTTACATGAACTGTTTCTCTGACAACATGAATTTAGCCTCCAGTGTAATATACCAGGGATTAACTCTTGACATTCCACTTGGTGCACTCATGCCCTCCCCCCCCAACACACACACACTCCCTGGCTTGCAGCTTGCTTTTGTTCCCTTCTTTTATTTAAGAGATTGTGGTGGATACAGAATTAGTTCATGGGACAAGGAATTTTAAGTCTCCCTGATTTCAGTGGGTTCCGCTGTTTACTAACAGTAGATCTATATACGTAGATGCTTGTAGTCTTTCTGTGTGCCATAACAAATTATACAGTAGGGTCTTGACTTGAGAACTTAATCCGTATTGGAAGGCGGTTCTCAAGTCAAAAAGTCTGTAAGTCAAGTCTCCATTGACCTACAGTGCATTGAAAACCGATTAATCCCGTAACAGGCTGTTTTTGTTCCATTTTGGTTTTTTTCTGGTCTGTAAGTCAAATCTCAGTCTGCAAGTCAAACCTAAATTTTGCGGCCAGAGAAGTCTGTAACTCAAAAAGTCTGTAAGTCAAGCCGTCTGTAAGTCAAGGGTCCACTGTATGCACCTACACATGGGTTAAATGTTCAGCTCTAACATCCAGAAATTTTCTACACACATGCAAGTACTATTCTCTCAGGCTGGAGTTAACAACACTGACAGGGAGCTTAAAAGCATATGTGAATACATTCAAAACTTCATTTTGTCCCAAGCAAAATATAGAATAACGTTTGTGAACATAATCTTAAGTGTCTTCAAGAATAGTTGCTGTCATATAAATGGTGGAACTTACATGGTTGAGTCATGTACACCATAAAAGGAAGGACTAGAAAGGGGATCATGTGTTCTACGCCACCAGCAGAGGTCTAGATATTTACTGTGGCCAACCACTGATAAATCTAAGCTGAGGATTAACCTGTCTCGAGCTACTTTGGGCCTCTCATGTTGAGTAGGCTGGGCTAATCTTTCCTGCCTTCTAGCATTCTTTCCCACAAAGGAGCCCAAGCCAAAGATTCCGCACCCCCATTCCCCAATTTAATAATGGGTTGTGGAATCTCTCAAGTACCATATACCTGCTGTGGTTGTGGTCCAGGCTCTCTGATCCCAATGTTATTGTTGTTGTTTAAACTCTTCTAGTAATTATAAAAATGTGCCATCTATGGTGGAGTAGAGGGTATGATGTCTGGTAGCATGCTGGGCTTTAGCAGAGTTGGTTCCACATCAGAAGGCTTTGTTAAGAATATAATAGGCACCCTCTGAAATCCTCAAAATTCATAGAACATATATATACTATATATATATATTCCTGTTGAATGTGCAACAGAAAAAGTAAGAACAAGAATATGTCAACCTCTTGGAAGACGTAATATTAATAATACCCTTTGTGTCTTAAACAAATGTTGTTTTCTCAGCCATTCATTTCGCAGATTTTTTAAATTGCTGAAATAGCAAAACAGAGATTTGAATGGCTTAGGTTCATATGGAACCTTTTGTGTTATAATGGGTTGAGAATGGCTCAGGTAATTTAAACAGCATTAATGCAACATTATATTTTTCTCAACCACAGATCTCAGGCAGATGTGTGACTGGGTCTGCATTACACAAAAACAAGTTTTATTTGACATAAACTTTCCTGGATGTATCTAAAGAAGCTGGCTATATTCTAGGAATCAAACTTATTACTGCTTTATGTACCTCCAGACTCTTGAAGATTTTGTTGCATAAACTAACATGGGTACCTCCTTCATCACCCATATTACCCAAGCATGTTTGCTTGCTTTTCCTCTGGAAGAACTGTGGGAGGCTTCATAAACATTTAATTAAAGGTTTGTTGCAACGCTTGTCTCAGTGTTGATCCATAAATAGTGGTGTTCCCATAAAGTCTCAACAGAGGATCATTGAAGAAAAGACAAGGGAATCTCAGGAGGAGACTGGTAAATACAAACAAGTTTTTGAAAAAGCTTAGCAATGGAAGAATACGTTTCCTGGAATAAGGGACTAAGAGGTCACAGGGTCAGAAGCACTGAGCTGCTCATGCATATCTTCCATTCTGTCTATGTGAGAGTCCCTGCTCGGAAGAGGGCAAAGATTCAAGGAGTAGCTTTCTTATTTCCCACCCTTTCTCAGCCGTTGCATTCAAACATCTGTTGAAAGTCAGGATACACACAAAGCAAACTCACCCAGTGCACAAACACAATCTGAGATATTTTTGCAAGCAAGGTTGTTGCGGTCTTTAATAGACTCTTGGTTAACATCTTCTATGCAATAGCAAGCGAATTTTTGTTCTCGAAAGTTAAGTCATATTGTAATTATTCTACAGTAACCTAAATGTAAACTGTAAGCCACATCCCCTTCTTCAGTACTCATTTAAAGACTGGAGAAACAATAGAGTACCAGTCTCATCCGCAATTGTAGATACTGGAAATAAAGGAAGCACAGTGGGAATAGAGACTAGGCACTATGTCCCAGACACAACCACAAGGAATTCTGAGAGGACTCCGGGGAGCTAGGAATGGCGTCCCAGAGAGGACTGCAGAAAATTCCAGATTCCAGCTGTATGATTTGCTATTTCATGCACCAGGTGCAACCATCAAGCCACTTAACAGACCACCCAGAAAAAGAAGACAATGCACAGATGCACCAATAAGTGTCTCCTATCAGTCCTATTCCTGTATTCTTGATCTGTCTTTAGCCAGCATCTTTTTATGAGAATCTTACCCCTGAAAACTCATTTGTATTTTTAATATTTCAAACACATACACACATACATACACACATACATACACATGACATTTTTTATTGCCAAACTCCTGTTGAATACATTAGCCCTGTGTAACAGCAATGATGTTACTAGTAGGGGAAGATTAATGGTAATTAAAGAGTTGCTGCTAAGCCAACTTGCCCATAATTCACCTGCACTCAATCTTATTGCAGCAAACAGAAGCAACTCCTGGTATCACAGTAGCAACTCTTTTATTACCAGTAATTTGCTGCTGCAAGTAATATCATCTGGGAGTGGAAGACTGATGGTAATTAAAGATTTTGTACTTAGAACCTGGAATTTGCTGGACTCTTCCACAAGGAGACTGATTGAGAGTAATTTGTAGACGATCCAGGAGATCAAAGGAGGAACCTTAATTTCAGCAGTCTCCCTTGCTGGTGATGGTATTACTCTTATGCAGGGATAACTTATTCAGCAGAGTTTTGCCCACTGTATTTATTTCTCCATTAATAAAAATGAGTTTTGGCACACTTCAGAATTGTAGTCATTTTTACCAAGTTTCCTATAAATGAATTGCAAACTATTGTGTGAACTCTCAAAAATACATCACAAGTCTTGGCAGTTTATGAGTTACCAGTATGAGTTCCATTTTATTATCAGTTTCAGAACATATCAAATGGGTATTTCCATGTTGAAATAAAAACCCAGCAAATTTGTCATCCATCCCTAAACAGAAGTAGAAAGGGACCAGCTAGAAGAATAGCAAGAGAATACAGAGCCAGATAACACAACGTGACAACATATCTCCCTTGAAAGATGTACCATTAATTGCTGAGCCTGACCACAGGTAGCATAAATTCAAGGAAGAAGTAAGATCACACCTGTGCAGAGAATCAACAGGACTCTGGCCAGTATTTCTGGCATCTTTTTCTAAAGCTAAATAAGTGCTTATACAAGTTTTCCATCTTAAGCAAATTGACCACATTGCTTAGTCACACAGATTACCTGGTCTCCTTGGACCATATTTTCACCCATATATATATTACAGGATGATTTTCTGCATAAAATAAGCAGAGGAGAAGCATGCAATGCCTGTGTATATTGCTGCTTCATATTAATAAACCACAAATGACATTTTGCCACACACATGGGCCTCTGGTGATGTCTCGTGAGATGGCTGGTTTTTGTTTTTGCCATTAGTTTTATTCTAAACACCCACAAATGTCACACTGTCATCTGATTTCCAGGAAAAATGCAAGAGAAAATGAGGACAAGTTTAGAAATTAGTGGAAAACAGAAGGTGCTGTTTCCTTCAAAGACACAGGACACAGGCAGAGTACTAACTCCTGTCCTCTGAAGATGCCGGCCACAGAGACTGGGGAAACGTTAGAAAGAAAAACCTCCAGAACACAGTCAAACAGCCTGGAAAACCCACAACAACCATCAGATCTGGGCCATGAAAGCCTTTGAGAATACATACAGATCAAATATTTTATTATTACTAGAAAATGCTCTAGGTTAGCTTTCTTTGCCATGTTTGACTTCACACACACATACACACAGAGAGAGAGAAAGAACATAAGAAGACAGGTTGACTGCTGAAAGAGATATTTAATAACTTATCTAACGTTTCTAATTTTTAAACGTGCATACAAGGTAGACCTTATCATCATTCTTCTGGTTGTTCTATCCAGATGCTGCCTTTTGCCATTTCTGTTTATAGGTGGGAGTTGTGTACAGGAACTACTTGCCTCCCAGTTCACATACTCCAGGAAAGATATGCACCAAAACCACAGTCAAAACTTCCCCATGCAATCAGCTGCTGGATGTGAGAAGCTGGACAAGAGGCCAAGTCTGACAAAGCTGCATTTCTTCAGAGCTGATAATGGTCCTGCTTTCCTGCTTTGCCCTTGCTGGAGTCATTAATCCTCACAAGATCTCTCAAGAGAACATCAGATCTTCTATTTGTATCATCCCTCCTCTCCATGTACTGTATGAAAAACATAAAAGAGAGATATTTAATTTAGGGATGTCTCTTTTATTAAAGCATACTCACATCTACTTGGGCCTAAAACAATTTCCGATGTCTTCAGAACAAATTATAAACAGCAACTGTCATCTCATCCATTCATATACTGAGAACTCTTAACTGCTCTGCACTCATTTAAAAGGGAATAGATCACCGCCCTATATAATAATTAGAAGCCAACACAGATTTGTCAAGAAGAAATCCTGCCAGACTAATCTGAACTCATTTTTTTGTTTGGGTAACCACTGTAGACATAGTATATTTGACTTCAGCATGATTTTTGACAAAGTATCCCATTATATTTTGATTAGCAAGCTAACTAATTGTGAGCTGGATATAACAACTATCAGGTGGATATAGAGTTGGCTACAGAATCATATACAGAGGGTGATGATTAATGGCGGCTCCTCAAACTGGAAAGAGGAAACAAGTGGGGTACTCCAGGGCTCAGTCTTGGGCCAAGTGCTATTCAATATTTTTATTAATGACCTGGATCAGGGGACACAGGGAATGCTAATCAGATTTGCAGATGACATAAAATTGGATGGAATAGCTAATACCCTGGAAGACATAAACAAAATTCAAAATTATCTGGATAGGATTGAGCACTGGGCTGAAAACAACAGAATGAAATTCAAGAGAGATAAATGCAAAGTACAAGAAAGGAGATAAATGCTACCGTGTTTCCGCCAAAATAAGACGGTCTTATATTGATTTTTGCTCCAAAAAAACGCATTAGGGCTTATTTTCAGGGGATATTTTATTTTTTCATGTACAGCAATCTACATTTATTCAAATACATTCATGTCATCTTCTGGTTGCTGCCCAATGGTGGAGGGCAGGGTTTGACTTAACTGGGGCTTATTTTGGGGGCAGGGCTTATATTATGAGCATCCTGAAAAAATGTACTAGGGCTTATTTTTGGGGAAACAGTGTATCAAATCCCTAAACTCAGATCCGGACACCATCATTCTGCCAGCAGACAAAGGCAACGCCACAGTAATCATGGAAACAGAAGAATAAAAGGACAAAATCAGGGAAACTCTAGACCCCACCACCTATAGAAAACAGGACCCAACTAACAAAATCACTAAAAAAACTAACATGCTGATCAGGAGTTCCTCCCTGCACCCCAACCTCCTTCAACGAATCTGCAAGACAGAAGCTCTCCCACCAAGACTATATGGACTGCCAAAATCCACAAAGACTCTATCCCATTCAGGCCCATTGTAAGTGCCATCGGCTCCCCGACATATGACTTAGCAAAATACCTAGCCATCGTCCTACAGACCCACATTGGACAAACCTCATCCTACATCAAAGACTCAGGCCATTTCATAAGATCAGCACTCAACCCCGGGGAAAGACTTTGACACAGTATCCCTATTCACCAAGGTACCGATAAAGGACACCCTGGACTCATCCAGCAGATCTTTCCAGAAGACATCAAGGGCCTTTTCCAACACTGCTTAACAACCAGCTATTTTCAGTGGGATAATGAGTTCTATGAACAAACAGATGGAGTGGCCATGGGGAATCCCATGTAGAAGCAAACTTCTACATGGAACATTTCGAAAACATGTAGAAGCAAACCTCTACATGGAACATTTCGAAAAACAGGCCCTGGCTTCGGCACCCTTCGCATCCACAGTCTCATTCCGATATGTGGATGACACCTTCACAATTTAGAACCATGCTGAAGAAAAACTGGAAGAATTTCTAAACCATCTCAACAGCATCCACCCAAACATACAATTTACCATAGAAAAAGAAATAGAGGGCCAACTCCCGTTTTTAGATGTCATGGTCGTACGCAAAACTGACCTCCCACTGGGACACAAGGTCTACAGAAAACCCACCCACACGGACCGGTACCTACACAAAAACTCCAACCACCACCCACAGCAAAAAAGAGGCATAATCAAAACACTGGTAGACCATGCAAATCGGAACTGTGAGGCTAAATTTCTCAGCACCAAACTCAACCATCTGAATTGGGCCCTACAGGCAAATGGCTACTCCAAAAATGAAATCACAAGAGCCATCAAACCAAGAAAACAACACCAAACTGAAGAGGAAAAGCAGCCACCCACAAATAAAGTATTTGTGCCATGCATCAAAGGGGTCACAGACCACATGGGGAAACCATTGAAAAAACACAACCAACAAACAGTATTCAAGCCCACCAAAAAATACAACAAATGTTGTGGTCAGCAAAGGACAAAAGGGACCCCCTCACCACTGCAGGAGTATACTGGATACCTTGCAGTTGTAGCCAGGTATATATTGGAACCACAAATTGCAGCATCCACACCAGAATCAAGAGAGACACTGCAGATTAAAACAACTGGAAAAATTGGCAGTAGCTGAACATGCCCTAAAACAAGCTGGACATGAAATTCTATTTCAGAAGACAGAAGTACAGTGGTGCCTCAACTTACAACCATAATCCAAAAGATGGGCGTAACTCAAAATGTTCATAAGTCGAAGCACAATTTCCCATTGAAATGCACTGGAACATGATTAATCCGTTCCAGAAGGGAAAAAATACCAAAAAATAAAAAAAAACACTGCAAGCCCCATAAGAATGCACTGGGGGCAAAAAACAAACACACACACACACACACACACAAAAACCCACAGCCAGCCCCAGCGGAGTGCCATGGGGCTGGGGAAAAACCCACAAAATCTACACACACAATTAGCCCCAGTGGAACGCCATGGGGCTGGGGGAAAAAAAACCCACACACAGCCAGCCCCAATGCAATGGGGCTGGGGGGAAAAACCACCAAAACACAAAAAACATCACAGCACAGAAACATAGCCCCCCCCAAACCCAAACCCACTCTGCAAAACAAAGTAAATGCACTTACTCAGGAACAGAAAGTAACTCCAGGTAGCCGAAGCCTCCTCCGAAGCACTCACTAAACTGTTGGGGTGAAAGAGCTACAAAGAAGCAGCCTCTTCACCTACCAACAGTTAGCAAATTTGAATTCCCTGCCTTTCCCCCTGCCTTTTTGCTGTCGCAAATCAAAGCTCCAGCCACAAGTCGAAGCAAAATTTTGCAGCCGGAGCTGGTCGCAACTCAAAATGGTTGTAAGTCGAGGCACCACTGTAGTGGACAACACCAGCAATCATTATGTTAGACTTCACAGGGAAACCATCGAAATCCACAAAACCCAGCAGAGCTTCAACCAAAAAGAAGAAAGTTTAAAACTCAACAAACCCTGGCTCCCAGCACTGAAAAATACAGCCTGCAAAAGGTCAACGAACTCTACCCAGCTACAAGGATCACTGCACACAAAAGACCAGCTAATGACACCCATCAATCACAGTGACAGTTAATTTCTCTGTCTTATCACAACAATACACCCACGCAATCACCCATCTCCTGAAAAGGACAAAAGCTGATCCCACAGCTATAAATACTCAGCTATCCAAACAAAACTGCACCAGAGCACAGACAGAGTTCTGACTCCTGTCCTCTGAAGATGCCGGCCAGAGACTGGCGAAACGTTAGGAAGAACAACTCTCAGAACACAGCCAAAGAGCCCGGAAAACCCACAACAACCATCAGATCCCAGCCGTGAAAGCCTTCGAGAAGTACCGCACCTGGGAAAAAGAAACCAAACACACAATTACAAGATGGGGAACACCTGGTTCAGCAATATAACAAGCGAGAAGGATCTTGGAATTGTCCTAGATCACAAGCGTGATGTGGCTACAAAAAAGGCAAATGCTATTTTGAGCTGCATTAATAAAAGTATATTCTCAAAATCCCACAAGGTACTACTTCCCCTCTCTTCGACACTAGTTAGGCCTCATCTTGAGTACTGTGTCCTGTTCTGGACACCACACTTCAAGAAGAATGCTGACAAATTGGAACAAGTTCAGAGGAGAGCAACAAGGATGATCAGGTGGCTGGAAACCAAGCTGCTTAAGGAAAGGCTGAAAGAACTGAGGAAAGATGACAAGAGGGGTGATATGATATAATATTTGCAATACTTGAAAGGCTGTCATACAGAGGAGGGGCAGGATCTGTTCTTTATCAGCCCAAAGTGCAGGACATGCAACAATGGGCTTATGTTACAGGAAGCCAGATTTCAGTTGAATATCAGAAAAAAACTTCCTAACTATTAGAGCAGTATGGCAGTAGAACCAATTACCTCGAGAGGTGGTGAGTGCTCCAACAATGGAGGCATTCAAGAGAAATTTAGACAAGCACCTGATAGATACCCTTTGACTGGTACTCCTGCATTGAGCAGGGGGTTGGACTTGATGGCCTTATAGGTGCCTTCCATCTTCATTATTATATAGTTCTATGATTCTATATGGAGTTGAACTTTTTATTATTTTATTTATTTTATTAGACTTATATACTGCCCATTTAGAACATGTCTACTCTGGGTGGTTTACACAAAATACAAAAAACCAAAGATACAAATATAATAAATTAAAACATACATGCATTAAACTTTTTGAACTTTTCTGCAAGGTGTAAAATAATGAACAGAAAAGAAAATAATTATTTATACTTCTCATAAACCTTTAAGCCTCTGGCTGTCTAGCAGTAATCTACCCAGTACACATGAATATTAAAGTAGCTAAGCTAAGTGGCTGTCAGATGGAGAGAGATTGCAGAAGCTGGGGGGGGGGCGGGAATCAGCATGCGTGTAACACTTGGAATTCATTATACTCTGCAAAGTTAGATAGGAAGGCACAAGCTCCCTATTCTTCACAGGTACAGTATTCAGTGAGAGTTCATCCATGCTGACAACAACCTTGACATGTCTACTTGTGAAGTCCTGTTAGACCAGATCTGCCAGTGACATAACAGAAGGCATACGGAGAAAAGGCAAAGATCAAAGAAAAGGAGACTGCATGAATGAGATCAAAATAGAAGAATTGTATTCCACTGGACAATCTGTTTGCAGCTCAGCTAAACTCAGGGAGCTGAA